AAAGAAAAATAGTATAATAAGCATTCATGTACCTACAACTCACCTTAAATAATAAATACCAAAGCTATAGTAGAAGCCCTACAAAAGTTATTTTAGCCACTTTGTTATTTTGTGAGGGCTTGTTAAGATACTGTAAGATATGCATAAGTTCACTTACCTGGGTACACATAATTTTTAGTACATTGCAGGAAGCTAACGAGAGCTAATGAATCATGACACCACTGTCAACCTCTCACACTTGGAATTTTGACTCTTAAGATAACTGAGTTTACTTCATGCATTACATGAGCATCCACCTTGCAAAATAACCAGGGTGCCAGTGTCAATCGTATATTACATGAGTGAAGTTTTACTTCTAATTTTTAGATAATAAATATGAATTGGAATTCTAATATGTTCTTCCAGCACACCAGTGGGTTATCTCACACAGTCTTCTGGTGTTCTGCATCATGCTCTGGAGGTTACTGCTCTAAACTATAAACCCCTCAGAAGCAAGGATTTGGTTGAATTCAACATTTTAACTGTGCCATGCATAGAACATATAAGAGGAGCTCAATAAAGTATGCCAACTGAATAAATTAAACTTACAGAGTTTTCTTGATGTTTGAAAGTAACTTGAAAGTTTGCAGTGGATGTATATTGGCTACTCAACTTGCATAATTTTTGACATTGTGCTGGCATTTGTTCAAGGGTCTACTGTTACGAGAAGAAAACGAATTGTTGAAACTAAGCGAAGAAATATTTTAGAGCAGAAAAGACAAAACCCTGGATCTGTAGGACAGAAGGACAGTGAGCAAATTAATGTAAGTACAATATTAATCAAAATCTCTATTCAATATTAAAAAATTGCTTGGAAAACAGAGGTTCTTAAAGACTGTATGTCATAACATAAATATAGCCAAAGCCGTTTGTGAAGCAGTCTTGGAATCTTTATGCTAGGTAATTATTCCACTATACCTACTTGCTGCATTCTAGTTAGCCTATATAATCAGTTACCAATGAAAGCTTTAAACCAACTCTAAATCATTATTATTTTATTTGTTATTATTGATAGCCAATGTTGGAAAAAATGAGGTCATTCACAACAAAATTCAACAAAGCTATTTAAATATGCACTTAAAAAAGAAAGAAAGGTAAATTAGAGACCTGGATAGAAGAAACAAGTATACTAGGCCAGGCACGGTGGCTCACACCTGTAATCCCAGCACTTTGGGAGGCCAAGGCGGGTGGATCACCTGAGGTCAGGAGTTCAAGACCAGCCTGACCAACATGGTGAAACCCTGTCTCTACTAGAAATATGAAAAATTAGCCAGGAGTGGTGGCAGATGCCTGTAATCCCAGCAACTGGGAGGCTGAGGCAGGATAGTTGCTTGAACCTAGCAGGCGGAGGTTACGGTGAGCGGAGATTGCACCATTGCACTCCAGCCGGGGCAACAAAAGCAAGACTCCATCTCAAAAAGAAAAACGCAAGCATGCTAATCATAAAGACAACTATAGTTTCATGCGATTGAATATCCTATTTGTGTCTAAGCTTCCTGGAAGACGTGGCAAAAAGGAAAATTAGATGAGTTATATACTTCTCAAGGGATATTGATGATGATGATGTTGTTTGGGATACAATTTTAAAAAACATTTCCCACTGAGGACCTTTCATAGGGAACTTTGAAATACATAATGAATATGCTCCTAACAACAGTTCCACAACAAATAAATAAAGAGTTTAATATGACTATTTGAGATAGAGATCTTCAAAAAAAGTAAACAGCATAATAGCAATTTTTAAATAATGGCCAGGCGTGGTGGCTCATGCCTGTAGTCCCAGCAGTTTGGGAGGCCAAGGCAGGAGGATTACTTGAGCCCAGGAGTTCAAGACCAGCATGGGTAACATAGCAAGACCTCATCTCCACAAAAATAAAAATAAAAAAATTAGCCAGGCATGCTAGTGCATGCCTGTAGTCCCAGCTACCTGGGAGGCTGAGGTGGGAGGATGCATAAGCCCAGGAGTTTGAGGCTGCAGTAAACTATAATTGTGCCAGTGTACTCCAGCCCAGGTGACAGAGCAAGACCCTGTCTCTCAAAAAAATGAAATAAAATTAAAATAAATGGAGGTAATTCTGTAAGAGCTAAGTAAATGAAGTCAAATATGGCATTTTCTAGAGGTCTAACTTGATCCAGGGATTGACTTTAGAATATTAAAAGTCTAGATAGATAAGTAAATAGCATTTCACTTGGGAGTTTCCACTTTAAATGTCACTCTGACTTTTTAAAATAAAACTGGAATATTTATAATAAAATGCCTTATGAAGAATTTATATTCCAAGTTACTGGTTGAAGGTGCTATGATTTGTATATTATAGGAAGTACTGATTTTTATATGAATAAGATTATTATATGGAGAATAATCAACAATGATGTAATCTTATCAGCAAAACAAGTCATTTAGTTGAATATTTGTGTAAAAAAAGTTAATCCTATTACCCATATATTTTTATTGCTTAATAGTGTAATGGTTAATTACAGATATAACTTCCTGATTACAAATACAATAATGCCTAATAAGTCCTTCCATTTCATCTGCTGTGTTCCCATCCAACATCTCAAAATGCACAATGCAAAAAATCTTTACCCTTATTTTTTCCTTATTTTCATTAATATATTATAAATTTAAAAGTAATATGTAATTATAACCAAGAAAATGAACTAACAAAATTTTAAATGCCTGTTATTAGTGCCCTCTGTAAATTCATTTTTATTTTACTAGGTCTTATTCTATTCTTCTGTCTCTTGCTCTTTCGCATTCTTAATATGTTTAGAGCCCATTTTTGTCCTTTTTAGAAGCCTCCCTTCCACTTTCACATACAGATCTTCACCCATCCACTTACATACCTTCCAAACACTTGTTAGCCTAAGAATAGGTCAGTGTTCCTGAATCAAATTTTTTCATTCTTATTATTTTGACTTGTTTTCGTTTTTGTTTTTTGTTCCAGAGCCTAAGCAAGGGTTCAGTTACTACAGCAGTGGCCCTTGTCACCTTGTATTAGGAAATGCATGTTATCATACCGGATTTTCTCCAGCCCATGACATCTATATGGAGAAAATCTCAAAGAGATAAGTGAAAGGTAGAAAAGGTAGAAAAGGTTTGCACCAGGATTTCAGTCCAAGGTTTCTCAAGTCTATAATGGAAATCAAACAAGACTGTGAGATCTACTGAAGGAGAGCTGTTGCAAAAATCTGCAGTTTCTCATCAGATCAGATTGAACAAAAGTTACGTATAGTCATAGCCAGGCAGTTTTATCTGACAGAAAACAATTATTTCTTAAAGTGAAACAGAATGGTAATAAAGAAGGAGGTAGACCATATTCAGGGAAGGGAAGTTGGTATCTCTCAGAAAGTGTTGGATGCGTACACTTTTTGCCAGTGTTCTGAGACTTCCATTTTCAAGGTTCTGTGCAGCATTGGGGCAGCTATTTGTGTTTTAAGTTTTGTCATATAAGATAATCACCTATCCTTGGCATTAGCTGTAGTCAGATGCTTTTGGCTAATAGTTGTGATTCACGCTTACAATGATAAACCAACTAGGTTATAAACTTTAAGGTAATTTCTTACCTTTTCTTTAATTAGCACTTCTTTTATTTTTGAGACAGAGTCTCGATCTGTCGCCCAGGCTGGAGTGCAGTGGCACAATCTTGGATCACTGCAACCTCCACCTCCTGGGTTCAAGTGATTCTCCTGCCTCAGCCTCCCAAGTAGCTGGGACCACAAGTGTGTGCCACCACTCCCGGCTAATTTTTTGTATTTTTTTTTTTTTTTTTTTGAGACGGAGTCTTGCTCTGTCGCCCAGTCTGGAGTGCAGTGGCTGGATCTCAGCTCACTGCAAGCTCCGCCTCCCGGGTTTACGCCTTTCTCCTGCCTCAGCCTCCCAAGTAGCTGGGACTACAGGTGCCCGCCACCTCACCCGGCTAGTTTTTTGTATTTTTTAGTAGAGACGGAGTTTCACTGGGTTAGCCAGGATGGTCTCGATCTCCTGACCTTGTGATCCGCCCACCTCGGCCTCCCTAAGTGTTGGGATTATAAGCATGAGCCACTGTGCTGGCCTAATTAGCACTTTTGATTACCATCCTACTCACTTTACCTCTTCCAAATATCCAGGACAATATCATAACCTGAAAATTTTTTAGTGGACATAAAACATTATTCATAATATTCTGTTACCATAGAAATTATTTATTATAATAGTTCTTGAATTCAGCTCTAAAAAATGTAATATACAAGTTACGTGAACAATTATAGCTGAAAATATATATAGCAGTTAAATGTTTTTTAAAAGTTCATGTACATATGAATGTTAAATATGGAAATATGTTTTAATTCAATATTCTATTTTTGTAGAATTGTGGACAAAGTGCCCAGCTAAGTTCAAGTGAACCAAAACAAACTACAAGGGGTACTTCTTATGTTGAAGAAGGTACGTTTTAGTTTAAACATTTTCCTCTGATCTTTGTTCCCAGTGATTTTTTTTTTCTTGTATGCCTATTCTCAGATGCTAATGTATTATGTAATTGTTAAACCACCATTTAGAACCTGAACTCTCCTCACCTCTGCACATCTAGGTCATTGTCAGTGTTTCTTTATTCTAAATAATAATGTATTGAACATCTTTCTACATCAAGTTATTTTCTGATTTTTACTTATTTCTGTAGGTTAGATTTCCAGAATTAAAATTACAGTAACTGACATGTAAATGCCACCCAGTAAATATTTATTGAATTAAACTCTGTGTATTAAATGAATACTGGATCAAAAGAAATAAGCATTGATATGCCTTTTCATATATATTACTAAAGTATTTTCCAGAAAAGTATTATTCAAAATTGTTCTAGTAGTATATGTCCAGTGTTGTATGTCAACTTGAGGTAGAATCTTTTCATATTTGCTATAGATAAAAAAAAATAGTATTATGTTAGTTTTGATTTCTATACCTTTCATTAATATTATGCTTAATTGCTTTTCTGTGTATTTTTTGGTGAACTGTCTCTTTGTACTCTTTTTTCTTAGCTTAGATATTAGAGTTTGAAATTTTCTTACTAATGTCTGCAAATTCTTTAGCTATCAAGGATTCTAATTCTTATATTAGTTGAAGATGTTTTCACTACTTTACTATTTGCATGTTATTCTACTTATATTGTATTTTCACATGTTTTAATTTTTATTTGTTCATTCAATAAATGATTATTGAGAGCTAATCTTCTGCTTGTAAGTAGGTATTGGATGTACATGTTGAATATCCCTAATCCAAATATTTCCAAATCAAAAATGCTCCAAAGTCCAAAGTTTTTTGACCCCTGATATTATACCACAAATGGAAAATTTTACACCTGACTTCATGTGATGGGTAACAGCTAAAACACAGGCTCATGCCACACAGTTTATTTAGCATCCCCAAGGGGAAAAAAGATCCTCTCAACCCTCTTCAGCTGCACTATATCTGTTCCATGCACACCCGGATTCCCCCATGTAAGCATCCTCACAGGGAGTAATAAAATGGTATATGTACCAATGGCAGATTCCCCACAAGGCCCCACATGGGGCCAAGACCTACATGCATTACTCACTATATATATATATATTTTTTTTTTTTGCTTTTTCTCTGATTTGTGGTGTAAAGATATTGTTGAAAATATAAAAAAGACCTGAAGATTCCCCTGTGGGTAGCAGTGATAAAAAAAAAAAAAAGGAAACATTTCTGTTTATCAGTAGCACAGAAAGTCAAACTGTTGGAGAAACTAGACGAGCAACATAGTGTAAAATGTCATATAGAAAAGGATGGTGTTGGAAAGACCACAATATATGACGTGAAGAAACAGAAGGATAAACTGTTGAAGTTCTGTTTTGGAAGAGATGAACAGAAGTTAATGCAAAATATAAAAACTCTGCATAGGATTTCAACCATGAAGTCAAAGAGTGGATCCCTCAGCGTCGCAGTGAACATGTGCCACTTAATGATATGCTGATCATGAAACAAGCAAAGATCTATCATGATGAACTGAAAATTGAAGAGAACTATGAATATTCAACAGGCTGGTTACAGACACAGCATTTAAGACACAGCATTATTTTTAAAGATTTGTGGTGATCAAGCAGCACAATTTTCTCTACAAAGCAGCAGAGAAATTAATTGAAGAGTTTGCCAAGGTCATCACTGATGAAAATCTGACACCAGAACAAGTATATGTTGCTGATGAAATATCACTGTCTTGGTGTTGTTACTCAAGAAAGACATTGACTATAGCTGATGAGACAGCCCCTATAAGAATTAAGAATAACAGAATAACTGCTGGGGTGTGCTAATGACTCAGTCACATCTAAGTGTAAACTTGCTATGATAGACAAAATCTTGTGTCCTCACTGTTTACAAGGAGTGAATTTCTTACCAGTCCATTAATATGCTAACAAAAGGACATGGATCACCAGGGACATCTTTTCTGATTGGTTTCACAAACTTTTTTTTTTTTTTTTTT